TTATTATTATTATTATTTAAAGTAATCTGGTGTCCATAATGAGGCTGTCTGCACACAGCAGGACTTATAATGCAAATGGATTTGCAGTTCGGTTGTCATTACTAGAAGAATAGAAGAAGAATAGAAATGTATTGATCTCACACTGGAGAATTGAACTCTCTGCATTTAACCCATCCCCTTGGGGAGCAGTTGGCTGCCATCGTGTGGCGCACGGGGAGCAGTGTGGGGTTAAAGGTTATAGCTCAGGAGCCCAGAGTGGAGGCTGTGGGGATCGAATCAGATCCTTTTTTTAATGATGGGGATGGATAACCATACATTTTATTCATGAAGCAATGAGAACACCTGAATTTACTTCACCTGCAGCTGCAGTCAATAAATATAACAGAACTGCACCCTTAATACGATAGTTTATTGGCTATAACACATATGTGAGGATATTATGTTTCCTGCACATATTTGGATCTGGTCAGGGGTCCAAATGTGACAACAAACTACTGACTGTTCTGGGGATGTTAGAACAGATTTTGTTTTTGCATAGAGGAGGTGCAGTCGAATTCAGCATTTTCAGGAACTCTGAAATGCCATTTAAATATGACATTTCCTCTTGAAGGGAGGAACACCTTATTTGACGCTCTGTTTCCTTCTACCTCTATGTGATACTGCTGATGACACAGGTAAAGACTTATCCTTCAGGGGGTGTGGGGACACCTCGGCCCCAAGACTCTTATAGTTCAAAGCTGCTGTGGTAACAGAGGGTAACCTGATGGACTTGTCCTAACATTGAACTGTTTTGCATGTTGGAGAGGATCGCTGCTCCAAGATACACTTTCTCTTCCAAGACCAGTAGCAGGATGGCTCCTGACCAGTTTCCCAAATATAGATCCACTGACATAGATTCACGCACACACACACGGGTAAAGACATGTAGGACACGCAAGGGTCCACATGGGAATTATAGAAGAAATAAAAAAATAAATTTGCTAAATAAAGCAGCCTATCTTTAACATTTGCAACCCTCTCTGAGCACAAGCCCACTGCTCTAACCACTAGGCCAACACTCCTCCAAGAGAAGGATAGAGTTGGGGCTTGAACCAGGAAACCGGCTGTCACATACCTAGAAGGACTATTAGCCATTTGGGATCCGAATTGTGACATGACTGTGCAATATTAGCCCCTAATAATTGCATCATTAGGCTATTAACCCCTTAGCTGTAATTAACATATGTTTATGACAGCAGCTAGAGTCTCTCATTCCAGTTTAAACAGGACATTGGTACTGAAAACCTGTAAGGTTAACTAACTCCAACCAACAGAGGGTAGGGGATACAGAGTAACCCAAGTCTAAGCTCAGCAAACACGAGGACTGTTGGGGTCTAAATCACACCTATCATGGTGATTCGATTCAGTATCAATTTCCTGACCCAACGACTCGACTGTTTTTTGATACTCAAGAATCTGCCATTTCTGTCTTGCCTACTGTTTGTGTGTGTGTGTGTGTGTGTGTGTGTGTGTGTGTGTGCATGCAGAAAGAGGGTAGTGGCTAAAGGAAGCGAGGTAAGAGGGCAAAATGTGTTTAGCACCACCGCAGCATGGGAGTCAGAATTACGCCCAGGAGCAAATGGATGAAAATAGTAGGAGAAAAAAACATGAATCGATACTCTTGCGGACGTGTCAGTGCATCGGATCGTCGGCTGTCGGATCGATGCATCGATATAAAAAGATTATTTACACCTCTAGAGGACTGGTTATCATATTATTGTGTTTGTGTTAAGCACGGGGCAATATGTTCTGCAACATATTTTTGATTTAATTTAGGGGTGCTTCAGGCACCACCAAAAAAGGCTAAAAACTCCTCTGCAGTAAGCTGCTATAAAAAAACTGCATGTCTCTCTTAGGAGTAAATACAATCTCGTTTTGATTGATTATCATTGAGAAGTATAGACTCTTTGATTCTTCTTCTTTTTTTCTCTTTTCTTTTACATTTTTTTGTCTAAGTAGACACAAAGATATATTAGACACACTATTTCTACAATGAAAAAAAAAAAAAAATCCAGGATTTTGTATAAGTATCAAACAGAAACACTACAATTATCGTCTCACTGCCTCCTAGCCTTTACTAAAAAAAAAAAAAAAAAAAAACATAACTTCTCCAAAATCTTAAGGAGGAGAAAAGGCTACATTTTGAACATGTTTCTGTTTGTTTTTAAAGACAAGATTTGGCAGATCAATCAGATCAATCAATCTTCTTTATTGTCAACTACAATTTACATTATAATCGAAATTTCAGTTTGAGTACAAAGATACTAGATGCTGCAGATTTATGCTCACTCTGAATTATTTCCAGATGGAGCTGGAGAAAAGCCTGCTGTCGGACCATGAGCTGCGGCTGATGGAGGACGCAGAGAGGATGAGTCGGAAGCAGGCTGACGACTACGACTCGGATGAAGAGGAGGGACGTGATGACCAAGAGATCATGATGGCTCAGGACCTGGAGGACACCTGGGAGCAGAGGTTAAAGAGCTTCCAGCCTGCTCCAAGGTTCAGAGGTCCGTGTAGAAACTGGAATGGATCTGTGTTCCTTTTCTATGTCTGCTTCACTCTCGATGAACATTCTTAACCAATCTGAATGTCTGATTTGATAGAACCGTCTGTGTAAAGCTTCTTGAGGTGATCTTCTGTTAATTGATGCCATATAAATGAACTTAATTGATTTAGAATTAATTGGAAAATATATGAAATATATTTGCTATCTAGTAAAACAGAAATATTCAACATAAAGAAAAGTAGCTCAGAAGAATCTGGATGGAATTATTATTTTTTTTTTTCGCATTGGCATTCAGAAAGTCTGCCTTCTCCAGAACCTTCAATTGGCATTTTCCTTCCTGTGACATTTGGAAAGTTAGTGTAAAATCTGCTCACACTAGCAGAGCGAACGGTCATGTGTCCCGTCTGCCTGCCTTTATCTCCTCTAGCCGACGCAGATAAGGACTTGACCTCGGTGCAGCGCTGTCTGGCCGACTCGCTGGTGCTGCTGGCTGAGCAGCAGGTGGGAGCAGAGAAGCTGTGGCTGCTTCCTCAGGCAGCGTGGCAGGAGGGAGAAACGCTGCGGCAGACGGCAGAACGAGCTCTCAGCTCCGTTTCAGGTATCACAAGTTAATGTTTGTTTTTGTTTTTTTAAATAGCTAGATTTCTTAAAGTCTGTTAAATTGTTCTTACTCTGGAATGTTCTTGATCTTCTTTTTCCCACCAGTTGTTAATACGCCTAAAATCCCCTCTTCATCCCTGAAAAAAAGATGAAATCAGCCGAAATGATTAATACTACATAAATATCTTATTAACGTTGTATCAAAGTGAGAAGCGGTTGTTTTTTTTTAACATATGAAACTTTATCTTAATGTCAAAATTTAAACCTGACGATGGAGATCAACTAAAATCTAGAACATTAGAGAAATATCCGCTTTCGAGATGTAAAAACTCTGTTAATTTTTATTTTGAATACAAACAATATATTTTATCGGGATTTTAAGTGATGGAAAGACACCAAACAGCTCAATGTTGTGATTTGAAATTAATATAATACGTGCTTTTTCATCTTACTTTCTTTTATAAATGCATATTGAAGAGAAATCACTGATACAGCTTTTTAAGGCCAATACCGATTATGTTTAAATCAATTTAACCAATGCAAACCCTAAAATGTGCTGTTTTTTTTTTTTTTTTTTTTTTGTGTTTCGGTTTATGTTAGATTTTTTTTTTTTACACAATAATAGGAAATATTATATAAATCTAAATTTTAGCCAAAAAGAAACATTTCATAACAAATCATTGAAATTATTACCAATGGACAACATATGAGGCGAGGAGCAAATTCACGGCATGATTTTATGGCACGGCTGCTGAATGCACTAATGAATGTGAAAACACGTGTACGGATCGGCTGATACTGATACAAGACGATAAACGACCAAAGTGTTTATCAGACAATGATGTCTGCTACCTGATGTATCTGTCTTTCTCCAGCATCTGTCTGTGGGTTCAGATTTATCCTGCTGGAAGGTGATCAACCTCTGCGTCTCAAGTCATCGTCTCCAACCTGATTTCTTTGTATTAGCCCTCCTCTCAGCTCCATCCAGCATTTCATCTACTGCCTCTGTAGAATAAAAGAAAAGCCTTATAATTGCATGATAGAGCCTCCACCGTGCTTTATAGCTGTACATTGGCTTTCTACCACATAGTGGTTTCAAGTGTAAGCAATGGTTTCCTCCTTGTCTGCTGTAGAGGCCAGACTTGTGAAATGCAACCTCTACTTTACCTCCAAACATATTCCTCCCCCTGAGCTTTGGATCTCTGCTCAGCTCCTCCACAGATCCTATCTTATCTAATAAGATCTATCTATGATTAACGATTCCTGCAAAGTAAAATCGAGTAAAGATGCGATCTGGTTTCAGTTCCCTACAGTCCGATCTGTGTCGCCAGTTTACCCTCTCTAAAAAAAATCTATGTACAAATGGGTCAAAAGTTTTCATGTGGGATCACACACTATCCGTGTTTTGTTTTTTTTGCTCTTTTTTTTAATCAACAAATTTGCATGGAAATGAATGTTATCTTTTTCCAGGTCCATTTTTTTGCAGCTACTCATGTTTTATAAATGAGACTCCTGAGCTTTCTCTCCTTCTGACTCTGAGCTTCGATTAGCTAGTCTCGTCAATACGCATCCTTTCTATTCCAGCTAACACTGTGTTAAAGCTAACCACAATGAAGTTCCCACAGCAGGTCTCTAACACAGCAGACACTTGAAACAAAGCCAGCCAGTTGTTGGCATGCAGCTAGATGAAGCCTTTAAGCTGAAGCGTCTACAAAGTAATCAGCACTTGATTAACTCAGCATTTAACTACTGGGCTTCTTTTATCAGGAGTTTGCTCCATCAATCACCTTCTATGAAGACCGTCTTTCTCACGTTACAATGCTTTGTTTGGTGGAGGGTTTTTTATTTAAAGTGTCTTTCAACTGCACAAGTTGATTCATTTTTAATAAAGCTGGACTCAGAGGGGAGCAGCCCATCTAACAAGCCGGTGTTGCTGCTTCACTCTTATGTTGAGACGTCTGGGGGGGGGGGGGGGGGGGGGGTGGATTTGCCTGAAACGAGATTAGTTTAAGAGATTTTGCTGCAGCTCAGAGTCAGGAGCAGAGGCAACAGCTGAGTTGCAGCAAATGTTTGATTCAAACAGCAGTAAGAGAGTCAAAACATTGAGCATGTTTGCACGTTCCTGTTTGCTTCACCCTTCGCCTCCGCCTGATAACACTCGCCTCCCTTTCCTCCTGTCCGCAGCAGCTGATTTCAAGGCAACTTTCCTCGGGAACGCTCCCTGCGGTGTTTACAAGTACAAACTGCCCAAGGCCACTCGGACCGAGAGCTCAATTGGGACAAAGGTGTTCTTCTTCAAAGCCATCCTGGCTGACAGCGCTCCAGGAAAAGCTCCAAACTCGGCTCTGCTTTGGTTGAAGAAAAGTGAGCTGCAGAAATACCTGAAACCAGCATACATGATGAAGGTTGACCGCTTCGTTCTCAGCTTGTGACCAGAGACTTATTCAATACAGTTTGTTGTTGATCTGTCATCCATTTTCAATAAATATTTGGTTTGTTTCGTAATACAGTTTTTTTCCCCCTCAGGAACTGATATTCATCAAAATAAAAATTTAAAATATATTGTGTGTCCTTAGGAGAACTGTATCATTTTGTTAAACAAGATGAAAGAAATTCAAACATAGTCTTAGTAGGATTCCTCTGCAGTGGGACAATGACGGCTGACAGTTTTATCCACAGCTTGCTCCTCTAGGCAATAAATCAGCCAGTTGTACGGCTCTGGAAGTGAGGTGTCAGTGATTAGCTATCACTTTATCATTCAGTTCAGTATTCAGGCTGGCAGTGCTCTCTTTTTCAGTAGAGAATGTAAAAAGGTTCATGCTCGCTCATTGTGTGCGTTTATTTATTAGTTTTGGATTTTTAAATAAAGCATTTGACCCGTTCAGTCATGTCAGTGAAGTAATGTTTGATAAAGAATAAGTAGGAAATGGGAAAGTATCTAAAAAATGTGATGTATGCATTGTCATGTATAAAATGATCCACCGGGATAATAATCTGGGACAGACCAGCCTGAGCTTTTTAAAATAAGCTTTTTTTATGAGGAGGGTTTGGCTGAAGGAAGGATGAGTTAAGCTCAGTGTTCGTCTGAATTATAATTTGGATCTTTATGAAGGGTTATATTTAACCCCGACAAAAAGAGGGACAACTTTAATGCATATGTCTGAACCTTGGCTTGACTTTTAATTGTTTTTGAGAAATCTTGCAGAGAAAGTTCTTTGGTGGCTTTATGTCAGAGATTATTTAAGCTTTTGCATGAGCTGTTTCAATGGAACTGCTTGTTTCTCAGGAAATATATATGTGCGTCTGGGCAGTTGATTTGGTTCTTGAATACAGCGACAAGTCTGTAATTAGGAAATGTCAAGGTTCTTGAACCAAGCAGGTACCAGACAGAAAAAACAGCCATGAAACAATTGCAAATCAGGCTGAGACTTTTGACAGAGGGGAATATCAAGTTTGTAGGTAAAGCTTAAGTGTCCAAGAAAACGAAACAGATCAAAGACACGAGGGCTGTATTTCAGATTCAAATTTCAAGAGCTTATTCCAGTTCTCAAGATTAGGAATCAGTTTATTTATTTAATCTGATCTAAAAATAGATTTCTGGTATTGTAGTCTGTGTACTTATGCAACATATTGATTCTAGTGTTGTATCAAACAGTGAAAATCAAGAAAGTAATAGTAGTTAAGAGCAGCCCCACAGCTAAACCCTCCAAGTGAATATTGAGACACGTGTAAAATGCATTTTAGGTTAAATGAGTACATTTTAGAAATTAGTTGAGGAATTAAGAATAAAATATAACAAGGCACAAACACATAAAAACAGTTTTTGTCAAATTTCCTCTAATACTAGAAGTTATAATTTAATATGAGTCAAAATCTCCATATAAATGCTATTTTTTGTCAATCCTGACCAGTCAGGACTTCCTGTCTTTGACAGGATTACTCAGATGGATCAGGAAGGTTTCTCCCCATCCTATACTTTACTGCCAAGTCAGGACGACTGTTTTATATTTCTTAACAGACTGAGGGTTACAGGACATAAAGTTCAAGAGAAGATTCAGAGGGACCTTCGATCCAAATTAAAGTCCTCGCTTTTACTGACTTCAACTCAAAAACCCGTTCTTGTCGTTTACTCATTGTCTTCCCGGTTATTTGGGACCGGTTAGCAGGGACTGCAGTCTCAGCAGCCTCCCAGTCTTCCTCTCCCCACACACCTCCTCCAGTTCGTCTGGGGGGAGGCCGAGGCTAACTGAGAGACATAGTCCTTCCAGCGTGTCCTGGGTCGTCCCCCTTGACCTCCCGATGGGACATGCCTGGAGCACTTTCATAGGGAGGTGTCCGGGTGAGTGAAAAAAGATGACCAAACCACCTCAGCTGATTCCTCTCCATGTGGAGAAGTGGCTCTACTCCAAGCCTCTTCTAAATGACCCTCCTCACCCTATCTCTAAGCGAGAGCCCAGCCACCCTGAGGAGAAAACTCCTTTCAGCTGCTTGATATCAGTTTTTCAGTCATGGTCCAGATTTCAAGACCATAGGTGAAGGTAGGAAAGTAGACCAACCGGTAAATCAGGAGCTTTGCCTTTTTGCCCAACAGACCGGTGCAGCATTATAGAAGCAGCCGCACCGATCCATCTATTGATCCGCTCCATTCTCCCCTCACTCTTGAACAGGACCCAACGATAATTGAACTCCTCCACTTTAGGCAGGGACTCTTAAATTACCTTTCTCCAGTCCAGAAGTCAAAAACCAAAAGATAAAATCTCAAAGAGCACGGCCACTCCCTAAGCTTACCTGTTTTAACTTTTCACCGGAGGGTGAATGAAGGGAGATGTATTCTCCTTCATGTAAAAAAATCATTCTAGATCATCCTGATGGCTTCCATCAGTTCCAGACTAGTTTGTGAAGCCATCTTTACCACATGGAGCAATGTTTCTACCTGTCTTCTGGAAATTATTGCATGTGAGTCCTTTCATGAAGCATTTCTGTGTCAGGCTAACATTCTTAATGTTTTATTGCATGATAAATTACCATTGTAGGTTTTTATATAGCTTCTCTTTTTCTAGCAACCCTATTTTTGTCTCTTTGTCTGGTTTCTTCTTATTCAGCATTTGACCATAGTGTATATTAAAGAATATCTCAACAAAGGTTAACATTTTTTAGAACAAATTTCAGAAAGTAAATCATTTAGATTGATTATACAAAGAGAGCTATTTTTTTTTGTAATGTTAATTATTGTATGACGATAATAAAAATTATGTTTTGAATAGAAATGTCTTGTCTTCTTAAAAATAACGCCTCAATGAGTTACTGCCTAAATTGCTGCTGGATGGGATGATCGTCTGAGGGGTAACAGAGGCCCTGGTTCCTTTGCTCGCAGCCTTCAGGTCATCTGCATTGTTGGTTCTGGCGTCTTTCATCTTCCTATAACAATAACTGCTAAGTTCACAGAAACACCATGGTGACTAAAACAGCTTTGGGAACCTTTGGCAGTGTGAGTCGGACCCAAGTCCAGCTGGAAAAGTTGAATCAGTATCTTCATAATGCGTGTCAGCAAAATGAAAGCATGAAGAGCTCTGGAATCTAAAGCCAGATGGTTGCATCGGTTCTGGACTTAAAAAACACGGTGGACTGGAACCAGCAGATGTCAGCTTACCTTCATCCATTACTGACTGTGGAAACTTCAAACTGGGCTTAAAGTAACAGGATCCTGTGCATCTACGCTCTTCCTGCACATTCTTAGACATTGATTTTCAAATTGAATGTTAATTTTTCTTTCTTTCACCTGAAAAGAGGTCTTTGGACTTCCTTATTTCCAGTCCAGGTGAGACACTTCTGATATTGTCGCTTGTTTAAGAGTGGCTTAAAGGTATAGAGGACGACCTTTTATTTCCAGGTGGATCATCAAAATAAGTGGTCCTTTTAATTGTCAATCATTCTGGTGACATGTTTACGTAAGGCCGTCCTACTTGCTCGTCCCCAGCTAGCTATATTTTTTCTGCGCGTGCTCACTTTGTAGGCGTAGATGTGCGGTGAGCTATATTTTCATCCAGTCAAGCTCATCTTTCTCACCGTGGTTCTTTAAAAATGAAGAGTTGTAAGAAAAAAGTGTCTAAGAAGTGTATGAGAAGAAGAGAAAGGCCTCAGAAGAAAAAAAAAAAAGAGGAGAGTGTTTTTGGGAGATTCTTTCACGCGATGGTGAACTCTGAAAGCACAGGTCGGGCTTCCCACAGATTCCTCGGTTGCAAAGTTTCTACTAACAGCTTAAGTTTGGCTATTTGGACAAATCCATTTGACATCACTGCTAGTCAAAGTTATCTACCTCTATATTTGTAACTTTTGCCTAGTTAGTAGTTATACTGTTTCCACAGATCCTTATTTACCCCACCAGCATGTCCACATTTTCACTGCAGCACACACAGATACTAGCATGTCATGATTTATTTAATGTACCAGTAGTCTTATTTGCAGGGGAACTTTTTTAACAAATAAATATGGATTAGATGAGATCCATCCGAGCGACCATGTTATTACTGAGTCCCTGCACCTCCTCGAGGAGAAATGGGCTGCATGCCCTTGCACAGGATTAACAGGCGTTCACTCTCAGGAGCGGGTACAGGGCTGTGTATGTCCAGTTTGTTTTAAAGTGGAGAGGGCGGTTCTTTTCAAAAATTCACATAAATCCTCCGCAATACCCTTAATAAAAAAAATAGATGAAATTTCTATCCAATGTGTAGAAGTTATTGGTCTCAATGCAATAATTCCCGTCTCAATCCTAAAGAAACTCCCATTAATTCTTGAATAGATTGCTCTTGACAATACTTTCAAGGTTGCCATTATCCCTGTTGATGCATTTTTTCCTAACAGACCTCTTTTCCTTTCACTTTCTATGAACATGCATGGAAACAGAACCGTGTAAACAAACAGCTCCTTTAGCAATGACCTGTGGAAGGTTGCATTGATTGTCTTATAGACAACTGTCAAGTCAGCAGTCTTTTACTATAATTGTGAAGTCTTCTGACCCAAACTGAGACACTGCCAGCCTTTTCTGTTAATAAGCTAGTTAACTATCTAGAATGCGACACCATAACTTCCTAATATGCAACTTCAATAGGCTTCTAATTTTCTGAGACACTTGGTTTTTATATAATTAAAGGCTTTCTATAATCTGGACACATTTGGTTGCCATTTTATGTGTAAGGGTAAATGCTGCAAGTAGAAAGTAAAACAACTGCATATAAGCTCCACATAACAGAACCAATCCAGACCACTGCAGGGAGATAATAATCAATATACCTGGGACCAGACCCTGAGTAAAGACATGAATGGGATGCCTGGAGCGACTTTGTGTTTAAAAATAAGGGATTCCATTTGTACCTAAAAAGTTTTCATGTGTGTTGTGATGTATTCAGTTTATTATTTTGGTCCATTCACATTAACTAGTAGTAATGTCCTTGCTCTGGTACTGTACGTCTTAATATTCATCTCCCCCTAGTGGTCTGAAACATTTACATTATGGGGAGCTAGTTTGCAGCTTTTCTTAGTTTTTTTTACAGTTATTTTTCTAGGAACAACATTTTTTCTTTTGCATGTATTTTGTGGGGCTACTCAGTGGCGAAGTGGGTAGCACTGCCGCCTTGTAGCAAGAAGGTTCTGAGAGTCAGGTTTCCTCCCACAGTCTAAAAACATGACTGTTAGGTTAATTGGTTTCTCTAAATTTTCCTTAGGTGTGAGTGTGTGTGTTGATAGTTGTCTGTCCTATTTGTCTCTGTGTTGCCCTGTAATGGACTGATGACCTGTCCAGGGTGGACCCCGTCCCTTGCCCATAGACAGCTGGAGATAAGCACCAGCACCCCTCGCCACCCCAGCAGCGATAAGCTGACAGAAAATGCATG